CCTACACGACGCTCTTCCGATCTCCCCAAAACCCCAAAACCCCGGCTGCTAAGTAACTAGTGAAAATAAGCCAATTTAATCTGTAAATTACATATGTATATTTCAATCAATTAGGCAATAATTATAGACCATTCTCTGAGGATTACGACATCATATATATCCTCTTGGCTGGACTCTCTAATCCTCTTTCGTCAATATCATCATCGTTTGTTGAATCTTAATACCTGTTTCTCTATGAAACAGTTTATTAAGCCAAGGGCTGTCCTCCTCTACCAGACAAATTTCCCATGCCCTTTGATGTATCATAATTTCTTTCAGTTTAGGGTATTTACTAATTAATACCGTTTAAAGTTGAAGCAAAGCTATTTGTAAAAATTGTCTAATTCTTCTATAGCTTCTCCTTATCCTTGGTTAGCTAAGCTTTCTATTTAGAAATGAGATCGTCTACACCTTTGTTGAGTTTGGCAGCAGCTGATGTAGGATTGAGGCTTCCGTAGTTGCTCGCTTGATTACTTACAATCAGCTCATCAAGACTCTAAATATTTATGGAATTGGATTTTGAAGTTTTCTTAAGCAGCTATTACTATTACTATAATTGCTATGTCTACTCGATTTGTTAGTTCTTTATAGTAGAGGGAACTAGTTTTTAGTTGTTAGTATAACTATTCAAAATAGTATTAGCTTAAGGTTATTAGTTTTGAATGTTTGATTATGATTGAATCAAGGGAGAAGGGGTGTTATTGAATATTTTGACAGCAGTTAGCCCACTCCCTGTGCCTCCATTGCCTGAATTATTTGCAACACCAAATCCGTTCAAGTTATTATTCTAGTTCCTCTAAGATCCAGTCAGATTTGAGGTGCTCGTATTTTATGTGTTGAAATTTACAAAGCTATTTTTCTTCTTTATAAAATTCTCAAAATAAGTTTAACCAATACCGAATCCTTATGTAGTTTCAGTAACTGTTGTTGAGATTTGTTACACAAAGCTACCTGAGTTAACATTCATGTTTATTTGAGTCGCACTTTGCTAATGAGTTGGTTTAATTGGACCATATCTACTAATAGTAGCTGTTGCTGAAGCCTTCTACTTAGTCTGGTTATGATTCTACAGGTCAATCTTGTGATTCCCACTTTTACGATTTTCGCTTCCTTAGCTATTTGTATTGCTTGGCTTTCGTTGGGTCTACGAATAGGGCTGTTATTACTATTAAGGAGTAGACTATGAGTTCATTTATTGCTGACGCTCTTTAGATTACTTTCGAATTTAAGCATAGCTTTATATGCCAACCATCCCTGACAGTTAACTTATATTTGATAAACCTGGACTTGGTGGTCTTCTAGCATTATTATTTTGGGGAGTCTTATGGATTTATTGCGAGGACTACTTCTACTGCGATATGATAGGCTACGAATATTTTCTTTATTCAAACTTGTTATTCGTTATTTGTAATTCTTGATTCTAATCTATCTATCTCAAATCAATCGTATGATTGATTTATTGTTGTGGGGGTGATATGGTTTTGGTCTGATTTCTAGCTTCATTACTTATGGTGTTGTATATATCGATGTGATTAGTATTTTTATTGTTGTTGATAATATTATTATTATTTGATGGATGATTATTTTCTTTCTCACTTTCCTTGGAATGTCTAGCTCTAAGATCAATATTCTGGTCTAATTACTCATAAGAAATTGGATTCTATGTTTTATCATTTTTATCATCGTCTTTTCTATGAAAGCTGAGATATCTATTGAGTTTTTGAGATCGCTTTTATGAAGACTTTTTGTTGTTGGATTAGCCTGTGTCTCTTCTACTTTCATACTGACTTATATTATTTCTAGAAGCATTTTAAAGGTCTGGCTAATGATTCTGATATCTCTAATTGCTTGTCTGTATCTTTGGCTGATACAGATGTATTTTTTCAGTTTGCTGATTATCAATGTTATAAAGATTAACTTAGGCTACTGGAGTTTCTCTATGAGAGTTCTAAGGTCTTATAACAAGTGTATTGCTATCTCTTTCTAAAGAATTATTTTCGTCTAGATTAAATTCAATCTAAACAGAGGAAGTTAAAGAGCCAACATTCTCGTTATTTCCATATTCCTGTAGAGCATTATATCTATTGTTTGGGGTGCATCCTTTTTTATTAGTTTTTAATGCTGATGGATTAGGAAGAGTGTAAGATTATCTTTTATCTTCAAATGTGGAATGGGGTACAGCATTAAATCCATCGTATACAGGAGTAAGATCGTCCTTAGTATCTTCAACCTTAATTTCTTGATTTTCCTCTTCTACCAATTCTCCTTAAAAATCATCCTCGAAGAATCCACTCAAAACCAGCTTCTTATTAATTTCCTTAGGAGGAATCGCCCCATCTAGCCTTGCAGAGTTGGGAGCACTTGCTTTTATATTTTCTTTGTATCTCAAAGAGATTTGATCCTTTGCGGTACTTTAAAAGTCTAATTTTACTGTGCTGTGATGAGTCAGATACTATTAATTGACACTGCTGCTACTGTGATTAGGGTAATACTTTGCAATTGGATTAACTTAAATGAGAGGCTATTCTTGTAACTACTATATTTAAGTACTTTAAAAGTTCTAATCAATCTAGACTATCTAATCAGTACCCTTAATGAGAAGAATTTCCTTTTCCTTCTTTTTGAGTTAAATCTATGATTCTTAAATGATTTGATCTTTTTATTATAACTATTACTGCATCTCTTATATCATTTTTTACATTTCTATAAGTTTCTGGTCAGTTTGATATTTTTCCTGTTGCTAAAGTTGATTGAGCTTTTTCATCTAAAGATTTTATAAGTATAAGTCAGTTTTCTCTAGCTTTAAATTTCTCATCTCAATCTGATTTTCCAGAAGAGTCTGTCTCTTGGAGCTATGCATTTTAAGAAGCATGCTCTAAAGCTTTGCCTTTTGTTCAAGATTTATATCAAGCGCTACTTTCATTTCATTGAGAATCTTTATATTATTTTGGTGATTCTTCTCTATTATCTTAATTTCATTATTTTTCAATGATATAACTTTAGTTATCTGCTATTCTAGTTAAGAGTTGCTTTACTATAAAGCATATTGCTTCTATAGTTCTAATATTTCAGTCCTTAGTTGAGTGAGTTGATCTTTATTCTTTATTTGCAAATCCTCAAGCTCTGCTATTGATTGCTTTAACTCCCAGTGCTCTTCAAAATTTGAAATTAGATTTTGCGATAGTTTCTCGATATATTTTTCCTCCTCAAGTTCCTCTTTGCTTTTAATTTTTTGTGATTAATTAAAGTTCTGACTTTTGGAGTCTGACAATATTTCAGACTACAACTTTAATTTCTCACTTTGCATTTTGTTAATTTCTTCTTCGATTTCTACAAAAGTATTTTGCTAATCTGCATTACTTGATGATTGATCTAGCAATGATTCCTTCACATTCTGGTTATAATTTAGTTATCTTTGTGATATTAAAGGCTATTTCTTTGTAGAATTGCTAAGCCTTACCGGAGTTGTATGCCCATGGGTATTCTTTTAGTTATTTATTTTAGCTGCACTTGGCCTAATATAAGAAGACTTTCTAGTTTTATGATTACTGCTGGTTTGTTCTCTTTTTTGTTCTGATAATTTACTATGAAGAGGAGGTTAGAATGGACTTCTTATAGGACTGACGCTAGCATGAACATTCTGCTAACTTTTCAACTATCCTCTTAAGCTTTCAATTTCAGTCCTTAGTGAATCAATTACTTCTTTATATCTGCTTACATGCAGCTCAACTTCTTTAACATTTTTAGTGGTTTTTCTTTTAATATTTCTTGCTCGACTTGCATATTTTAGAGTGTTTACTGTCTCTTCAAAAGCCAAATAGGATGGACTGATGCATGCAATCATAATAGTCTTTGTATTTCCACCTAATGAATCCTTAAGTAATCTTGTCAGCTTTGAATCTCTGTAAGGAACGAAGCTACCAGCTTTGCCTTTATCTGAAAGAATATTGATGCAATTACCCAGAGCAAGTAAACTCCTATTGATATTAGCACCTTCTACCATTCTTTATCCCTTGTTCTCAGTCGCAGCAGCTCTCTCACTACCTGCTAAATCAATCATTTATAATTTAGAATATGATATTCCTTCTTTCATACTTCTTGATCTATCTTTCGCCTCAACAGAAAATATAAGAATAGCATGTGATCGAGATGAGACAAGATTTGCAAGTGTAGGAGCCATTGTTCTTCTTTAGTTACCGACATATATTAGTGATGCAAGTTCCTCAGGAGAACAAACTCCAAACTCATTTATATCAGGAACAATAACTCCCTTTACTGGATCTTCTACAATCATAAGATTGCTTTGCTTATCTGAAAGTAAGTCACGCACTTATTCATTGTAAATTTCTAAATAGCTCACTTTCATTTCATATAAATATTGGCTTTGCCTTTCCTACATTCCCATAAAAACTCCTTAGATAGCTTGGAAGCACAAGCCTTATTCATGATAATTCGGAAATTCTGCTGCATCCAAAAGATTGTTACCAATCATAGTATGAGTTTTACCAGCTCCAGTCATTCCATAAGCAAAGCAAGTTACGTTGAAGCCGTCTAGAATGTTAGGAATTAAAGGTTCAATTGTTTTGCTGTAAACATCCATATTAGAATATTATTCTGAGAAAGCATCGTCGAAATAATAAGCCTTGTCTCTTTTCCCAGAGTAGTCATATTGCTATTCCTCATCATACACATGAACCTATAAATTGGCTTAATACTATCGAATAATTATACCATATTATCCTAAATTTTAATGATGGAAGATGTTTATCTTTTGTCATTTGGCTGTAATTCTCTGTAATTTAATGGTCGAACTCTAACGTATACCTTAAAGGCATCTTCTTCCTCAGAAACTTGATTGATGGGCTATTGATTCGGCAGGGATTTTCGAGAATTACTTTGAATTTACTGGGTGGAATTCGGCTGATTCTGACTAGGTTAATGACTCAAATATCTCGCCTGATTTAACTTCATATTTTAAATTCAAAATTTAACTTTTTTTATTCATTAAATTTGTAAAACACTTTATCATTTTTATTTCTGGGCGCTTGGGGTTTTGGGGTTTTGGGGTTTTGGGG